AGAGTGAAAGACATGATTAGAGGATCTAGGACAGAAACAGATAAAAAAATAGATGAGCTCAGAAACATGCTGGAAGCCATGAATACCCAGCATAAGAAAGAAATGGAAACCATGATTGCCCAACATAAGAAGGAACTGGAATCCATGAAACAGATTCAAACAGATATTCAGGAGATCAAAAACTCCACTGAAAGTATGCAAAGCAGACTAAGAGAATCTGAAGGCAGAACATCAGATACAGAAGACAGGATTGCAGTTCAGGACCATGAAAACAGAGATTTCTTAAAGATAGTAAGGGACCATGAGAAATCAATCCAACAGCTGCTAGATGATGCAAAAAAGAATAACATAAGACTCATAGGAGTCCAAGACAAAACAGGAGAAAGTACAACTGACATAAAAAAACTGTTCACAGAAGTAATAGTGGAAAACTTCCCAGACAGAGTTAGAGAATTGGATGGATAGAAAAGTGAGGCATATAGAACTCCAACCAGCCATGACCAAAAAAAATCAACACCTAGACATATAATAGTCAGGATCCCAGAAACCCAACAGAAGAACAAAATTCTACAGGCAGTTAGAGAAAAGAAAGAAATCACCTGCAAAGGAAAGTCCATCAGAATCACAGCAGATTTCTCAACACAAAACCTCGAATCAAGGAGAGCCTGGAGTGAAGTATTTCAAGCCCTAAAAGAAAGAAACTTCCAACCGAGACTGCTGTATCTGGCAAAATTATCTTTCAAAATTGATGGGGAAATTAGATACTTCCATGACAAAGAACACCTGAGAAATTTTGTGAACACCAAACCAGCACTCCAAACAATTTAAAGCAATATCCTAGAAAAAGACAATGAAGGTCACAACTCCACGAGGCCCAGCAGAGAGAAGGCTCTATGCAAGGTAAGACACTAAAGTGAAAGGGGGGAAAATAAGAAATAAAAGAGCAAACAAGAGTAAAACATCATGACAAGGATGAGTCAATACCTGTCAATTATAACTAGCAATGTTAATGGCCTCAATTCACCAATCAAAAGAAATAGACTGGCAGAATGGATTAAGAAGCAAAACCCAGCAAAATGCTATATACAAGAAACACAACTAACTCAAAGGGATTGAAAGTAAAAGGATGGAAAATATTTCTCCATGCAACATGAACCCAGAAAAAAGCAGGCATAGCAATCTTATTTGCAGACAAAGTAGATTTCAAACCAAAACTAATTAAGAGAGACAAAGATGGTCACTACATC